TGTCTAGCCTACTAAGCTCAAAACTCTAGAAAAGCAGAACCCATTTCTTCACAAACATTAAAAACTAAGAACAGATCAAATGATTTCTGATGTCCTTTCTAATTGGTAACTTGTCTACACTTGCTTACTTTCCTTCAAAACACTAGAGCTCACTTGGAAATAGAAGCTAGGAAGAAAAATGTGGATTTACAACAGGGTGGTATCATCAAATTTTCATTTGTAATTATTTTTAAGCTAAGAATGCATTGCTATTTACCATGTACCAGGCACTGTGTAAACATCCTTTACATATTATCTCATTTGTTTTTCAAAATGATAAGAAGCAGACATTTTATACACATTTATCAAATAAGTGTTAGACCTGAATGATAAGCAAGCCAATCAAGCTCTCACAGCTGAAGTACTAGAGTCAGACTCTTAACCTAGGCAGTCAGTCTACAGAAGCTTTTAACCTGCTGGTCAGGTCCCCAGGTCAAAACAAAGGGCCAGCATAGACCACAATGTACATGAATGCAATACAAGTAGTATAGACAATAACCATACTGCTCAATCATTCCTAAGAAGTTAAGTTTTTAAACCTTGCAGTGTAATTTCCTTAGATTTTTGATGCTTCTTACACTGTATTCAGAGTTTTTAAATGATTACTTCACAATTAAGAAAAGGGAACACTCGGGAGGCAAAGGCAGGTGGATCTTTTTGCCTGGTCCACAAAGTTGAGTTCCAGGAGAGCCGAGACTACACAGAGAAACCAAAAGAAAGAAATGAACAGAACCTAAGTCGGAAGCTTGTAGCTCAGTTGGTAGGATATATGACTAGCACAAAGAAAGTTCTAGGCACAATCTTCAGCACTGTATAAGTGGATCTCATGACACATCTGTAATCTCAGCACTTGCAAAGTACACCCAAGAGAGTCAGATGTTCAAAGGCATCCTAATTACATATCCTAGTTACATAGTGAAGTCTGAGGCTAGGCTGGGTGTTCTCTCTCTCTCTCTCTCTCTCTCTCTCTCTCTCTCTCTCTCTCTCTCTCTCTCTCTCGTGTGTGTGTGTGTGTGTGTAGTTACAGAAGCATAAATGACTCAAACACAGCTGTATCACCAAAGCCCACCCCAGCACAGTGACAGCTCACAAAGCTGGGGACCTAGAGCACACTACATGAGCTCTGCTGGTCTGTTTTTTCTAGTCAGTTGGCTGGTCTGGGCTACTTTCAGGCTGCTTGGCTGGTCCCTGCTTATTCAGGGTTGCTCCTTGAAGGCAGGCAGGAATTTTCTCTGCAGCTTGGCTTGTGTGAGAGAAACAGCAGTCTTTTCTGGTTGTATATACTTGTGGAAAGGGGACTGGTGAATCCCACAGCTTTCAGGAACTTCCTGAGGCTACTTTGAGTCCAAGTTCAAACTTCTGCCTCTTTGCCTTCACTGTGAAATCATACTGAGAGAGAGAGAGAGAGAGAGAGAGAGAGAGAGAGAGAGAGAGAGAGAGAGAGAGAGAGAGAGAGAGAGAGATTTGGCCTCTAGAACTCCCTTTTAGTACAGGTCATTACTTTATCTAATAATTATACATATGATATATTTATATACAACAAAAAGTCAAGCTCACTGGCTTTCCCTCCATTCTGATTAATTCCTAAATTGGGCTCTATCCTTATCAATCTACTAAATATTTTGACTTTCCAGCTACCAAAAACATTGTAAACTCCCAAAATCAATTATTTTCATTCTTACTCCTTTTGACCATGGCACGGGCCAGACCCAACATGCCATGTAAAACATTTCTCCTTCTTGAATATCCAGGAACAATACTTTTTCCAATTCTCATTTTTTTTTCCCAGCAATTGAACGCTGGCCTCTGCACAATCCATCTTCAGGGTCCTTCCACATGCTAGGAACATGTCTCACCATGCCCTATATCTCAAAAAAAACTTTTGGAAAAAACCTCAAGTTCAACCATTACTTTGTAAGATACCTCTGGCCTCATTCATACAAAAAGCAATGTTCCCTCTTTTGCACACCCCACATCACATGCTTAGTTCACTTACAGGACACAATGCCTGTCCCATCTGTAAGACTAAACTTCTGAATCATATCGAGTACATTTACGTTTCCGTCCCTAAGCAAATGTCTGGTTTTAAGTACCATGGTGAATTTTCCATATTACACTATTTTTACACTTCCAATGTTACAAATAAAGCAGAGCATGCAACTTGGCACTCTGCAAAAACATTCATTAAATTGATTTGTTCCTAATTCAAATTTTCAAAAGAATTGTACATTTGTATTTTAAGGAACTTTTAAGGCTTAATTCAAAACGCTTCATTAAACTACAGACTCCCGGATGAAATGGCCAGCTTCTTTGTAACCTACCACATGAAAGAGACAACTAATGGCTGCTTAATAAATGAAAGCTATCTTTGGTGTAGTCTAAAACTAAATAAAATAGCATTTTAATCTAAACAATCTTTCTAGACCAAGGAATAGTTAGTCGTGCACTAATACTCCAACAATTGTTTTTTGATATTTTAGCAAATTCTCAACCTTTCCCAGACTATCTTCAAATCATCACATCTTTCCCTTCATGAATTTCACCCAGTAATGTTGTCTTTGAAAGAGCTGCCAACTACCTCGCTACAAATGAGGCACGCCCCCCAATTTAGAAGTTAAACTTCAGGGCTAAGGAAGCAAAAGAAGTAGAGCCCAATGGTGTCTGAAGAGATCATCATCCCACAACAAAACAACCAGACCATCACATGTGCATGCACGCGCGCGCGCGCGCGCGCACACACACACACACACACACTCCTAAGTCTTAGAAATGGGAAGGAACATGCCCATCCATTGAACCTCCTGTCTAACCAACAATCTTTAGGACACCATCCTTGACAGACACTTTCCAGACTACGTACTTTCTGCGTATTGTAAGTCATATTTTAAAGTCAACACTGCATTTTTATGCAGTTGGTTTGACAATACACACAGGCTTGAAAGCTTACGGAGAAGCATTCCATTTTGATTCCATTTGATTTCTCAGCCACTGAGAAATTTTTGTTGTTGTTGTTGTTTTCTCGAGACAGGGTTTGTCTGTATTGCTTTGGAGGCTGTCCCAGAGCTTGCTCTGTAGACCAGGCTGGCCTCGAACTCACAGAGATCCACCTGCCTCTGCCTCCAGACTGCTGGGATTAAAGGCATAAGCCATCAATGCCTGGTCATCAATGAAAATCTTAAGCAACCTTCAAGATGAACCACACACCCAGATCACTTCCAAACTCCTCAAGTAAACACATTTGTCTCAAGGGAGGGAAGGACCTACTCGCCCTGCGCAGATACAAGTAAAAGCAGCTGTTGGGTTTCAAGCTTAAGGTGCTAGTAGAGACAACTTCGTCTCCCTTTAATAGGTCCAAACGAGTCACCTGTAGTTCCCTGACTTACCGTCTTTGCTTACTCAAATTTCCTAACCGGAGACAGAGACTTAAGTATCTTAGGGGCCTTTCCCCTCAGTAATTCTGCCTGTAAAACAAGCATCAGTAACAGGAAGCATGATTTTCTGCTGGGGATGGTCCTTAATATGATACCAGTTTAATTTACTAACAGGGGTAAAAGAAAGTTTGTACTTTCTAAAGTATTCAGAAAGTATTTTTCTCCAGATCGAATTCAAATAATTCACTGGATTCAGTCTCTTAAAGGATGGGAACCACTTAAGCTATTTGAACTCGACTTCAGATATCAAGATAACTAGACACAAATCTTTTGGAAGTAAAACCTACACAGGTACAAGTTTGATGTATGATCATTGGTGACTCACATAGGTTATGTCTAGGTTCACCAACTGCTCCTCTTCATAAATTTAAAGAGGAATCCACTATGACAGCCACTCCATGTCTATGCATGACGGACATCATTTGCACTTAAGTTTTATAACGAATGAGCTCCTCTCAGGTTCCTTTCTCCCCATCCTCTATTCTTAAAAATAAACAGATGTGTGAGTCTAATTAATTCCATATTAGTTCCATTAAAATCTTCTTGTAAATACTTCATAGAACCAGATACGGTTTCAACAGATTACCTATACACCCTATGATGTGCTTTAAAAGAAAAATTAAAGCACACCAAACCCAGATCTATCAGAAGAATCCCCTCCAGGGCTCACATGTATGTATTATGCAACAACCAGCGATCCAGATGTTAATCCCTATTCTGATGCAATGGCAAAATACCAAAGGCAAGGGTCTAACTCATTCGAGAAGCCCATTAACAAATTTAAACAACAATTACTATATGCTCGAGGATCTTGGAAAACAAGAAATAATTTTGAATTACATTAAAATTCTTCCTTTGGGTGATCTTTTAGCTGCCTGTCTCTCCCCTCCCGATCCCCTACAAAACCCTCACAGCGTTTTAACCTACGATTTGAAAATGACGGCCTGAAGCGGGGAAGGGGGACCTGCATCAGGTGGTTTACCTTAGGCTCTACTTTTGATAAGATACCCGCGTAAATTCCCAAGAGGGAGCAATGAGTTTCATCATTCTTTCCCAAGCACAATCATCGTAGTAAAACGTGATCCAGACCCCAGAGCCACACACCACCCGGGACTCAGGCTCCAGCCTAGCATCTCCAGTGACACAGGCCTCTCCAAGATCTGCATGATGGACGGCAGGGAACCCTGGAACAGAACCGCAATGACCCGAACTCTAGAGTGACGCGAGACTCCCTCCATACAGTACCTAGTTCAGAGCAGCCGGCCGTGCGGGAGCCACCTGCGCGGCGACCCGGTGCTCGCACCCCGACCCCCACCCCGCCCGGGTCCCGCTATCCCGAGCCGGCCCGGGGTTCCAGGTGGGGACCTGAAAGGGAGCGGCAGCTACGACCCCGGGAGGGCGAGCGCGGCATTCCCTCACACAAAATGGAGGCCTGCGCACCTGGGGTCGCCGCCACCCGAGGCCCTCCTCCTCCCCCCACGGGCCCCTGCGGCTCGGCCTCGTCCGCCGCGCCACGCCGCGCGCACTCACCTCAGCCGCGCCGCGGGGGCCCGAAGGCGGAGCGCGAATGAATGAGCCGCCGGTCCCCGCCGCCGAGCCCGGGACGCGCGGCTCGTCGCCGGTCGGCCGCAGCCCACCGTCCCTCCGCCGGCGTGACGCACTGGCGCCGCGGCGCGCCCACCGCGAATCCCCCCGCCCGCCGGCCCCGCGGCCGGCCTCGGGAGCCGCCCCGCCTCAGGCCCGCGGCCGCCCGCAGGTGTGCGCCCGGCTCGCGCGGGCGGTATTAAAGAGTGACCTTGGCTTAGCCGGGAATAGCAGCGACTAAGCCGCGGGGGCCGCGCGCTGAGCTCGCCGGCTCCTTTAAGGTCGACCTGCGCGGCATCCCGCGTGCGCCGCCCTCCCTGCGGGCCTCGGGCCCGGCGCCGGCCTCTGGAAATTTCGCCCGGGTGGGCGCGGCTTCCCGCGGCCTCCCGGTGGGGAAGGAGATGGTCGGCCGACCTGAGGACGCCGGCCTCCCCCCCCCCCCCCGCAACCCCTCGCCACCTCCTGACCCCCCTGCTACCCAGAGCGGGCGCGCTAGGGAGAAGGGAGATGGTGCAGAAATCCCACAGCCCCGACTTTATGTCGCGAGAGAAGGAACCATCACGGCCCAGCGTTGACCTTTGCTATGACAAGCTAACCTGACCCCAGAGAGCCTGCGCCATCCTCTCCTCCCCTTTCCCTCCCCATCCCTTGCCACCCAGGCCCTCTTGCTGACTACATCCTACTCGAGGAAAAACAAGTCCCCAGGTATTTTAGGGATGAAAATTCTTTAAAGTAATACATGCTGTAGTAGAAATATATTTAATAAGGATGCACAGAAATAGTATTTGATTTTTAAGACTTGCTTTTTTTACCTAAATTCTAAGAAATAAAATCATCCGGTTGTAATGGCGTTGTGGTCCAGCTCATTCAGAAAAAAAATGGAAATTGCTCCTATTCCTGGGACGTATTTATTAATCTCGACACTAACATTTAAGGATTACTACTTGATACTTCAAAGAATGCTTTTTCATATAGATCTATTCAACTCTTGCTTATTTTTACAAACGGGCTTTTTCTACCTCCAGTTGCACGTAAGAATCAACCTCACATCTGTTGTGTTTATGTGTAATAAATTATTATGAGAAATCTTGAATTATATGCATTTCCCATTTTTAGTGGAATTTAACAATGAATTAATAACCAGCAAGAATTTTTGAAGAGTTGGATTCCAGCCACAGCTACTCATGAATGAATGAAGTGATATAACATGCTTGCAAGTGGGAGTCCCCAGGGTAATCCCAGTTGTCGCTTTGGGAAAGCTATTTGTTTTTCGGGCTCTGGCACCCCTTCCTCTAGGTGTTGAAGTAAACAAACTCTCTGGGTCCCAGCCAGGGCATTTGCTTATGTTTCAGATGCCTAAGTGCAACCACCTTTAGAATTACTTTATCAATCTGTAGGAACCTGTGTCTGGATCACTTACCTGGCCACTGAGATAGAAATGTGAAGAACTACTTGTCTAGCCCCAGGAAAGGGTCCACTGACCACCTACACGCTGATAAACCCTGCCCTCTTTCATGTGGCAAGCATTCTATCTGCTGAAACCTAGAGGGCTTTCTTCCACGTGTCTGGATGAGTGAAGCTGTCTTCATGTAGGAGAGCTCTCCATGCAATGGGCTTTGATGGTTGCTGAAAGTCCATCAGGGTCACTGGAGAAGAATCCCTAATGGGTAAAATGATGGTCCCTGTTTCTGGCTGCTGCTGAGGGCCCTACACTCTGCTGTTCTTTCTGGAAATTAATTATCATAATCATCTTTCCGGTGCATACTAATGTGTCTCCCTGTCCTGTTCACAATAAGAGGAAACTGAGGAATACAGAAAAGCTGGTCAACTTGTTCATGGTTACACAGCTAAAGATCCTGGCCTTTGGTTCAACAACACACTCCCTTAAGCAAAATTCTATACTACCTTCATTTGGTTGAATTTTGTCACATGCCCTGTATCCTCTGTTTGAACAAATCTCTCATTTTGGAACGTAGAGGAAATGAAACCTTTGGTTAGAAAACTTGTAAAATTCCCTGGGGGATAGAGAGACTGCTCAGCAGTTACGAGCACTTACTGCTCTTGCAGAGAACATGGGTTTAATTCCCAACACCCACATGGTAGCTCACAGATAGTTCCAGGGATCCAACACCCTCTTCTGACTGTTGTGGGGTATCCACCAGAGAAAAGTATTCAGACATGGTTCTAAGCCAATAGAAAGTCTTTGTTAGCTGGCTGGCAACTACACTAGGTGTTTGGGATCCCAGTATAGCCCTAAGTCTTTCTCCGGGTGAGCTTTTAAGCATAAAAACAATATCCTGAATTGACACACTTCAGTTAACAAGAACAGTTAGCCAGAATCGGAACCACAGAAGCCAAAAAGCAAGGTTAGTACATCTAGAGACCTTCCCAGAAGTATGGACTTTGATGGATTAGGTCTTTGTTTTTGTTTTGGCAGGCGGTGCTGTCTGTGTGCTGAGTTCTATGGCCTGAACATCATTTCCATCATGGAGTCAGTTGTACTAAGGTCTGAGGACCTATTACACTGACCTCTAAGGACCATCAAGCATGCAAGTAGTACATATACATATATGTAGGCAAAACACTCAAAAAATTTTAATTAAAATAATTTTTGAAGAAAATTTGTAAGATTTCCTCTGGTGCAGAATCTATTAGTGTTTGAAAACCACATATTTCTTTTCACTTTTTTCTTTTTCTTTTCTTTTTGTTTTGTTTTGTTTTGTTTTGTTTTGAGGACAGGGTTTCTCTGTGTAACAGTCCTGACTGTCCTGGCACTCATTCTATAGACCAGGCTGGCCTCTAATTCACTGAAATCTGCTTTCCTCTGCTACCCAAATGCTGGGATTAAAGGTATGCACAACCACACCCCGCCCATCTTTTCACATCTTCTTAGGGCTAATAGTTCTCCAAACTTTTTTGGGTGGAGAGGAGGATTCTGACAATTAAAAGTCTTATTTGGGCCACACAGTGGTGGCACATGCCTTTAATCCCAGCACTTGGGAGACAGAGGCAGGCAGATTTCTGTGAGCTTGGTGCCAGCCTGGTCTACAGAGCTACACAGAAACCTTGTCTCAAAAAAAAGTCTTATTTGTATTTATTTCATGAATGGGAAAAAAAACCATTTCTTCAACAAATATCCATCAGCACCTTTGTCTGCTAAGATGTGAAAAGGTAGTCTTGAGATGGTTTACCATAGTTAAGCCACGATGAGAAAGTTAACAGCCAAGGCATGCTGTATACTTGCTGACTAATAAAATCCATTTACATCAGATAACGCTCTCAGGATTAAAGCCTTGTTCTGAGTGGGTTTTCTCTGTCAGCCACTACTGACATGTTTCTGATTTCTGAGTTTAGCTTTGAAACTGTGCTCTGGGAGAAAAACAAATAAAAGAACCCGAAGAACATGAAATCTAACAAGTTTGAGAAACCCAGAGACCCTTGCTTCTGCAGATTTGATTTGGTTTCAGGGACTTCAAGAATAAGAGCCCTCTGTCAAACTGAGTTTGAATTGAAGAGGAATACTCTTTGGGACTGCCAGTATTGCTGATGAACGATTAAGTACGGATTTACATTCACGGTAGACGCTGCAACATCCATTTCCAGTTTTGGTTTTGTTTGGTTGGTTGCTTGTTTGTTTGTTGAAAACACAATATTTTGTTCTGTGTAAGGCTGTGTGACTTCCAGGGAATCGCTGACAAACATCCCTTCACCCCAGTTACAGCTCAAACAACAGACCAAGGAAACCATCCCACCCAGTCTAGTTTGCAAGGTAAAGCAACGAGTGATCAGGGTCACTTCCAGGAGCGTGGGTGACTCCACCTCTTGCACCCCTAGAGCTGTACACCCCACTAGAAGCCAGTTCTACCCAACAGGCTCCTTACTCTCCCTCACAGTAACTGCTCACTGCTGGCTTACCCTAAGCCCTAAAGAGAAGTTTCTTAAAAGTCTCATCAGCCTTGAAAGTAGGGTTATTTAGCTTCCTGAGTTTTAGGAGCCTCTCTCTTTCCTGGGAAAAGACTGTTTGAATTTAGAGGAAATAACTGTGCAACACCCCCACTACAATTATATTCCTACCCTATCCCCATCTTGCAGCTGGAATAGCTACACAGTCATTTTAGCCAGAAGATTCATAGATTCATAGGTATGGCTTTCCAGGACCCGTTTTGTTTTGTTTTTCTGATTAAAAAAAAAAAAAAAAAAAGGAAAGAAAGTGAACAGATTTTAGTGGTGACACACACTTTTAATCCCAGAACTCGGAAATCAGAGGTAGACAGATCTCTGTGAGTTCCAAGCCATCCTGATCTACGAAGCAAGCATGTGTCACGCCAGCCAAGACTACCTAGTCTCAAACAACAAAGGGATAGACTCAACTGGCTTTTACCATTGCCTTTCACTTCGCCTGTGCAGGAAGAGCACTGTGTATAGACACAGGGTGTCAGGTTCCAAAGAAACTCGGGACAGATGGCTAACTGTGGTGCCTATTAGCATACCAAAGCACACACTGGACCCCAGGCTCTCTCAGCTTTGCAAATACCTGTTACTGAGTCCAGGCTGGCATCCTGGCTCTTCTCACCCGGCCCCCACCCTGCAGTTGTCCAGCTCAATGGCTCCCCTTCCCCCAGCTTCTCATTCCCATAGAACCCTGCTATTTTGGCCAAGCACTCTCTTCCTGTCTTCTCTCTTTCCCCTATCTCTTGGTCTCCTTTGCCCACACTTTCTTTCTCTTCCTGTCTTCCACACGCCTCTGGCTGTGCTCTCTCATATCTACAATAAAAACCTTCCCTTCACCCACACCTCTGCAGCACTCACGTCCTCAATGTATTCATCTCATGCAGGAACCCTCAGTTTATACTCATAGCAGCCGTATTTGACCCATGAGAATGAAATTCACCCATTAAGTATTCTGGAGGCCAGAGAGGGAGGGAGCTGCAGGGCCATTTACAGGCACCTACTTTTCTCTGTTGCACACCAACAACTGCAATTAGAGATAATACTCAAAGTCACAACTATTGTCTTCCATATAGCTAAGAGGAAATACCTATGTAGTGATACCATATAATATGGGGTATTCTTTGATTTTGCTACTATGTTAGGTGTTGTGACTTGAAGTGTGAAATGCTTGAACACTTCCTCTCTCTAGCTGGTGGCACTGGTTTAGAAGGCTGTGGAACCTTCAGGAAGTGGGTGGAAACTTGGCTAGAAGAAGTGGGACACATTTGGTGTTGCAGGCTCTCAAGTTCAAAGAAATGGGATCCCAAGTCATTTTTTGTCAGGAAGCAGTCTTTGTACCCACTGGCAGACTCTGCTGAATATTAGCTTTTTATAGTTATGACTTTTCTGTCTCCTGTATGTGGTGATTCTGGTTGAGTGCTTTAAACTACTGGTCGGTGAGGCTTGCAAAGCTGTAATGTGTTAGGAGAGGAAGGGAGGGTTCTACAGGAGAGGTGTGGTGAGGCTGCCAGTACACTCGAGGACACAGCCTAGCTGGAATGGCTGTCTCCTGCTTTCCTTCCTTTGCCTGGACCTGGGTGGGGTTACCACTGGGGAAGACCTTAAATCTCACTCTCAGGCCCATTTCCGGTTTTGCTTGGCTTCCTGAGTGGATGCAGAGTAGCAATCCAGCCTACTGCCACCATGTCTTTTCTGCCTGCTGCAATATTTTTCCTACCTGGATGAACTGTGAGCGAAAATAAACCCTCTCCCCCTTAAGTTGCTTTTGTTGGAGTGTTTTGTCATAGCAACAGGAAAAGAAACCAAGACAAGCAGGGGACTGCCATTTGCAGAATTAATGCTCCAGTTGTTAGACCTGAAGTAAACCTGTAAGCCCCACCTACCCAAGGACGAGGTAACTTCCTGGGATCCTGGGAAATGTAGTTCTTGAAAAATAACAACAAGCCAGGCGTTGGTGGCGCAAACCTTTAATCCCAGCACTCGGGAGGCGGAGGCAGAGGCAGGCAGATCTCTGTGAGTTCGAGACCAGCCTGGACTACCAAGCGAGTTCCAGGACAGCCTCCAAAGCCACAGAGAAACCCTGTCTCGAAAAAACCAAAGAAAAAAAAGAAAGAAAAGAAAAATAACAACAAAGCCTCATGGGAAAGTATGGTGGCCTATTGGTTTTGCTACATAAACCCCACCAACTCGTGTCTTGAGGACACACAGCTGGAAAGTTTCCAGATGGTGGTCCTGACCAAATTCTATCTTGGTCAGTATTTAAATTTTTAATAAAAACTTGCTTAAATTCAGCTAAAATGGTGGAACTGTTTGTTTTCTGGCAAATATCAGGATTAGCACAGTACTCACCTAGTATCTGACGAAGACAATCATTCCAACTCCTAACTACACAAAGAACACATTATCCCTATAGTGTATTTACTGGATACATTTGAAATACTACCTAGCAAGTTCTCTTGCTCTCTTTCCCCATCCTGCCCTGTGTCTTGTAGGTGCTGGAGATCAAAACCATGCACCAGGGCAATTTATCACCATGCCAGGCACTGAACCAACAACACAAAAGGTAACTGTGACTATAATAGTTACTTTCCTCATTGCTGTACCTAAATACTTGCCAAGAGCAACTAAAGGAAGAAAGGATTTATTTTCACTCAGTTCACCGTGGCAGTGCAGTATTGGCAGCATTGTGGCAGCTGGTCACATTGAAGCCACAGTCAAGAAACATCTGGTGCTCAGCTCACCTCTTCTTATTTTACTGGGATCCCAGCCCGTAGAAAGGTGCCACACATGGGGTGGGTCTTTCCATTTCAATTAATCCAACTTAGAAATTCCCTCACACAGGAAGGTCCAGAGATTAATCTCCTAGGTGATTATAAATACCTCATTTTACTTTTCATCTGTTTAATTATGTATTGGGGGTAGTGTTGGGGTACAATTAAGTGCAGTGACTGCTAAGGCCTGAAGAGAGCATCCCATCCCCATGGAGCCAGACTTACAGGTGGTGAACCATCTGCTCAAGTTATGAAAACTGAACTTGAGTCGTCTTTAAGAGCAGTCTGCACTTGTAACCATGTATCTCTCCAGTCACTCCTAGGTGACTCTAGAGCCTATCAAATGGACAATAATTAGCCATCACCGTGACTTCCCCTGATTGGTGTTTATTTTACACCTCATTTGCATACATACCCAGCCACTCTTCAGAGGAAGAAGAGAAGGCTCACTGTCCTGGAGTTTCTGCCCCAGGTTTCCACTGCTCCTGCCTCCACAACTAAACCTGCTTGCAGAGAGACTTGTTCTTGCTTCAGCTTCTAGTACTCCATGCTAGGACTGAAGAGATGGCTCAGAGGTGAAGAGCATTGTGTACTCTCGTAGAGGACCTGGGTTCAATTCCCAGCACCCATATGGCAGCTCACCCTTGTCTGTAACTTTGGTTCCAGGATTTCTGACACCTTCATGCAGGCATAAATGCTGGCAGAATGTCAATGCACATAAAGTAAGAAAAGAAAATACTCCATGCTAGTGGCACTGACAGAATTTGTTACTGCTCTAGGACTGACTTCCTGCTAAGGTTCCCTGCCTCCCAAGACCCACCTCCTCTGAGATCTGAGAGATGCCACTTCAGGCCCTGAGACCTGTAGAACTTGTAACACTTCTCATAGCTGTAACATTC